ATGCACAAACGGACTTCACTATTCAACATACTCGGCTCTGTGTGATCTTTTCGAAAGCCATGCGTCAGCGGTCGGCTCTCCGTTCGACGCCTGACGAACGCGCCGCGGCGACTAAGGAGGCCGATGAAGCATTGGCTGAGTTCATCCTACAATTACCCGAGAACCTACGATTCTCAACAAGTTCACCAAGCATCTGGCCTGCCACATTGCACCTTTCTTACAATAATTTCCTCATACTACTCCACCGCCGGAAGAACCCCGAGCAGCAAGTTAGCGACATCGGCAGCGACTCGGGAATCTGTTGGAGTGCCGTCAATAACATCAGTTCAATATTTGAATCACTCAGGATCTGTTCAATGCTTCATGGCCTATGGCTGCCAAGTATACACGTACTCTTTACAGCCATGGTGCACCTTTCGATCAATTTGAACGACCCCAATCCTGTCATCGCAGCTCAGGCCAGGCGGCCTTTTGAATCACTACTTTCAACGCTACGCGAAGCTGCAGAACTATGGGTTTATGCTCAAAGTCTACTTGCATTGTTCGAACCCCGTCCTATAAGACCGACAGCACGTCTTGAGGAACCCGCCCATCGGTCTGGACCGGCTCACCTGTTTCTTTCTGAACTGTCACCATTACCGCAGAATGATTCTAGCCCTCGTGAGGAAGGTGCTCCGCAACATGAAGCCTCCATGCATGATGCTGCATATGAGCCGCAAGGCCCTTCCTACCAAGAAGCCGTCAAACGTAACCAGCAGGCTCGTGACAGCCATCAAGACCAGCTACTTTCAGGCAGCCTTTTTGCCAGTAATGAACTAGGGATGACAGATCTGTTCGGCGGCGTAGATACACTAGCTTTGCCCTCAGAGCTGGAATTCCTTCTCGCAGGTGTTGGCACTGATTATGAATTCTGATCAGGGGGTTTCATGCCAGGTCACTGGCCAGAGCGTGGAATGAGCAGAGAGAAGAGGTGTTCCGCAGGCGATATCCGCAGTCAAATATTGGGTAGTGGGTTGAAACATGTCTGGATTACGACCCTCCGTGGTCATTTCGTGTACGCTCCGGTGCCCTAAGCCTACAAAGCTTGTCATTCAAGACAATAACTCGGTTACTGTATCAAATGCTGACTCGTCTCCGTATAATCTAAACTGTAGCTAGGTTTCAGATGTAAAGATTCAAAGGCGCGCTGCCAATGCTTATAAAGCATTCGAAGATCCCAGGTAAAACAGTGTGGGCTGCTTGGATGCGGGAGAGCTACATCCTGATATCCAGCTGCCCCAAATTGAAGACTGCCTCAAGAGGGGCGATCGAAGGCCAGGAGAAGAGGGAGGGGCATGTATAGAGCATTCTCCCTAACTTACTACTAATTACAAACTCACATGGTGCACGTCGCTTCTGCTGCAATTCGTGACAGTTTTTAGACTAGGAAATGGGTAGAATGCGCGATCATCGTCCCAAACCCCATTTTCGCTTGCGACGATTAAACGTCCCACTCGGAAGACTCAACCCAGATCCTCGACACCAGCCATGCGGGGTCACGTTTCTTGCCGCTCCCTGTTTTGCGCCACCACAAGCTGCCCCCCGCGCCCTCCACCGATATCCACTGTATTCGGGAGAAAACCAACCGAACGGGTACAACAAAACGCTTCGTGCCCCAATTTAGAGATACCGAGCAGCCGCCTGTCTCATAAATCGCAGACCTCAATTCACCACCACCATTACCAATTCACTAGAACGTAACGATGGGCATTTCAGCAGCCTTTGCAGCCGATTCTGAATGGCCATTGTGGGACGATGAGCCCCTCGATGGTGCTTTCGAGATCGACTTGCCTGGAGGGGTCATTGACCAAGGGGTTGTTTCGAGTGTTACACGGCCGTGGCTATTCGGATACAAGCCCAAGACGTCCAACGGGCGTGCCATCCTCATCCTCGGTGGCGGCGGTTATGTTGAGTTGATGGCCGGCAAAGAGGGGGTCGTGGTCGCCCGTTGGCTTGCGTCACTCGGCTTCGAGGCTTTCGTGCTTGTTCATCGCTTTCCTACGGCTGCCACAGGGCCTCAAGCTCCAATCGATGATGCAAGACAGGCGCTGCGTTTGATTCGCGACCGGGCCGATGCGCCAAAAGGCTTGGCAGTCTGTGGTCTGTCATCTGGCGGTCATCTTGGCTCGGCGCTGCTTGCTGAGTACCCGGCTTCTTGGGTCTCTACCGCAGGAGCGCCGGTGCCCAAGCTAGACTTTGCTATCATTGGGTATGGACCAATTTCTACAAACGCAGTTGGACACACCATCATCCCGAATAAGGCCCCTCTTGAACCTCCCGCAAAACAGGCGCTCTACGACACTGTCATCCCGGATCAGCAATTATCGAATCTGGCACCACCAACCTTCATTGTCTACTCCAACAACGATTCCGTCGTTCCTGTGGTCAACGCATACCGTCTGGCGCAATCCATACAGGCGGCTGGAGGCTCCGTTGAGCTTCACGTCTTTGCTGATGCGCCACACGGATTTGCTCTGGATACTGGCGCTGAAGTACCCGTATCAAGATGGCCCTCTCTGTGCGAGGCCTGGTTGAGACAACTGGGTGTTTTGGAGTAACTGGACTTGATTCTTCCGTCATGCATGATGATAAGCTCACAGTCATGTATGGAATCGGGCTTTGCAGCACGGCAAGTTTGTCTTGTCATTAGATAGACTGTGCTTTCTGAACATATGTCAAGCAAAAGCAATCTGAATTTGTCCGAAAGGCTGTCATCATGCGTCATATTTCAGACCAAGCGCCTTCGTGATAGCAGGCAGAATGGTCCCCTGGTTCCACGTCCAAACTAAGGCGCTGTTGTGTCCGGCAAATGCCGCCCCGGTGAAATATGTGTTTTTGGAACCTTGCAAATCCAGCAGCTTCCGGTAGAAACCGTTCTTGATGTCTTCGGCTTTGCAGCGTACGTTGTAAGGCGTGTGGTTGGAGGTGTACGGGAATGTGACGCTCGACGCTGCATCTGCTGGGACAACACCAGAGGCAGCAAGGGTAGCAAGATTCTTGCGGACAAGGTTCTTGCCGTCCTCATCTGTCACATCGCCGGTATCAAATCCTCCTCCAATGAGGAATTCATTAGGCGAGCCCGTGGAGCTGAAGCCATTGTTGCCAGGGATGATGGGCTGGTTGAAGGGAGTCAGAGCACCGATGTTGGTGAAGCTGCCGTTGAACCCAGGAACACTCGCTATGCCAGCGAAGTACCCCAAAGAAGAAAACTTGGAGAAGGTTTCCTTCTCCTGATTGGAGAGGTCGAAGGCCAGCATGTTCTTCAAAGTTGGCGGGATGGCCAGTAACAGCTTCTGGGCAATGATTGTCTTGGGGCTTTTGCCAGACTCAGCTACTACCAGAGTAACACCAGTCGCGTTAGAGTGACGGTCAACATTGAGTACAGTAGTGCTTAAGAGTACACTTGAACCGAGCTCATTGAGAGCAGAGTCGTATAGACTCCTGGTATCGCCCGTGCCGGAGAGGATGAACTCGCCGAAGAGGCTGCTCAGCAGACCAGGTCCGAGGCCCTTGATGCCATAAAGTGCGGGAAGGGTTGTGAGGTTCCCCGTATACCAATTGAATTGTGCAATGACTGGTAGGAGAGCCGAAAAGTTGTACTTTGCTGCGAACTGACCAAAAGGCTCATACAATTCTGCTGGGACGGGATCAGGGACTAGGAATCCCTGGTCGATCCATCCATATTTGCTGAGGACATTCTGAGTGTAAGCCTGAGCGGCGGCTTGAAGGACCTGCTGCTGTGCAGCTACGGCGGAAGCGCTTTGGGCTGGAATGGGAAACCCCAAAGCAAAGTCGAACTGTCGTGATGCACTTGTTGTGGCCAGTACATTAGATGTCGTAACTGGGACCTTGAGGCGATTGAAGTATCGCTTCACTAGATCTGTATTCTCGAAGAGGACGACACCGACGTTGCTGACAATGCCGGTTTCTTTATTTTTGTAAGTTTCAGCGTGGCCTCCGATTTGGTTTTTCTTTTCGATCACCAAGACCTTTGCACCAGCATCCTTCAGCTGAATAGCGGCGTGAATACCCCCGGCGCCGCCGCCAATGATGGCCACGTCAACATAGACGGCATTGGCCTTGCAGGCGAGATCAGGGCGACCATTGTGGCCACCGATGGCCTTGCTGGGGGTTGCAGATACGCTCCCGAGCCACAGGGGCCAGGCGATGATTGGCGACAATCTCATGTTGTACGAACTGCAGAAAATATGATCAAACTCAGAAAGGGTCTGGCTGACTGAGCAGCAGTACAATCCTCGCAGTAACAAGAGTCGGGCATCCGTATTTATAATGCGACCTTATGGGCAACGCAAACCCCTTAACAGTCTTGGCTCATGACATGACGGCGCGTCATGGTCATTTGTGCTACCCCATGCCAAAGAAATCCTGCCCTGTGGGCTGTACACATGATGAATGTGGCGGAATCTTGGGGCAGTATTAGCCATCCGAGAGCTCCGAAAGAGGGAACACGTGCGAATTAAACCTGATTGCTACGACCAGGAGGGCCATAGGATCGAGTCATGGGGCAAAACAAAACAGCTGGGCGTGGTGCCCAAATGCTGGGATGTCTCATTTAAGACACGTTAAAGTTCAGCCTATTGAACTCATCGAACGTGTGTGTCTCTGTCTGCGGCTTCGGAAGCACGGCCGGTAAATGAGTTGCCACGCGTCGGGGGCTATGTTCAGGGAAGGCATTCCCTCAATTAGCTCAGCTTCACTTTTGTGCAACGTCAGAACTTCGGGACATCGGCTTCACAACGGCACCTCGCAATATTCCAGGCGTACGCCATGCAGTTTGTAGGTCAAGTCTCACAAACAGACCGAGCAGATCCCAGGAGCTCACAGGTTTGCTCCATAAAGCAAACGCTGCTACATTTGACATATTACTGCTTGCGTCAAAACCTTTGCCTGCCTCGTACTGACATGATGATCTAACCTCGATATAGAAATGGGGATTATCTTCAGAAAGATCGACCGTGCTCTACGACCGTGTGTTGGTTCTCCATAACGATATAGTCTACCCCTATAACCATTCGGATCGATTCCGGGTCAATAAAGTTTGCCTCGTCAGGCTGAATTTTGTTGAGGTACTCTGGATCGCTTCCCATCGATTGAAAGGTCTCCAGGTTGTGTACCCAGAATTCGGCAGCGCCGTCGAACTCAAGAATGGGCGGTGCGTTCTCAACACGGCCGAAGTCGCGGAATTCGGGCGTCGAGTGATACTATAAACAGCCCCCACTGCGTCAGGTATTGTAGAGAAGAGGTCAAAAATCTGGACAACCATACCTGAGAATACTTCACCGCACCCAGGCGGAGATGAAAGGGTGTTGCCAGTTCGGCATGATTGGAGGCCCAATAGTGATTGAACTGCTCTGGCGTGATACCCTGCTTGCGGTTGTAGAAGAGTTTTACGTGGAACATTCGCTCCATATTCATAGTGCAAGCAGCTTTGTATGTCAAGTAACAGCACTGGTCCAGAGCGCCGGGCATGGCTGGTACACTAGCATTCGCATGCGGCGCACACCTGCTATAGGTGGTACTTACAGGTGAAGCAACGGATAGAGCGGCGGCGAACTTCATTATGATGTTGCAATATCAAGAGTTTCAGTGTGAGCAGCAAATGTAGATAGGCTGGTGGCATATAAGTCCAAGACATTGTAATTTATACGCTGTTTCTTCTATGCCTCTTGTGAACCTGAAAGCACACCCGTCTGGGAAAGGGCTACGTGACGATATGGGCAAATGGTGCGTCCACGCCCGTCAGCATGCGCTGATGGATTCGCGTATCTTCGTCCAATTCGATTATAGGTGAGGCGCGAGGCGCGAGGCGCGAGGCGCTATAAGCGATAGTTGCTGCATCGTGAATCAATGTAAGCTAACACTCACGGCTGTGCAGACCGAATACTCCTGAGATTCATATGGAGTACTTTTAGTCGTCTGCGGGGGGCTTTGGGCGTTTCCTTTGTCTGTCATTCGCTTCAGATGAAAGCAGTGGTCCTACTCGATCCAAGCCACAGGTGATGCTATTCGATTCGCGGCGGAAGCCGAAAAGCAGTAGGCTGAGGATGCTGCAACCAAGTGAGTCTCGTTCAGTTTCGTTACGCAAGATACTGTCAGCTCGGGCATGCATCTCGCAACTGCCTTGAATTTTCCTCTGAGAAATCTACTGCAAATTTGGCCCAACTTAGAGCACTATCTTTGAGTGACAAACGTTGGCAGAGGGCGGTTGCCCCTGTAGTCAATAACGAGTACGCGTATTGAGAGGTCAGAGATGTGAGTTCACTGGGGCGCAGCGCCAGTCAGTGGTCTTTCGTGGCCACCCACGTGTGCTTGATGGCTGCAATTTGTTACGGGCCAGAAGCTGAAGCTTATGCAGTCGCGCTACCATGCGTTCATCACGCAATCTTTGAGGGGCCGGGCCAGCAATCCCATGCCTTGATGTCCTGTCATATTGGATCAGGCTTTGTCAGGGAACTACGGCAGAACTTTGATGGAAAGTTGAGGGAAAGTCAAGGCGGAGGTCTCGTTTCCAATCCAGCTTTCGGCTTGTTTTGGTGCCTGCTAAACCACGATCAGGGTCTTATCTGCTGCTTTGGTCAAAGTATGGTACCTTACCTTAACTCCGAGAGCACGGGCGACCATCAGCTCGAGATGCATGCAGCTTCTACTAGCGGAGTTCAGAGCCGCCTAAGCCGTCTCTATGCGCTTTGCGGGACCTATCTGGAGACTTATGACAACAGTCAGCCATACCACAGCTGCACCATCGGATAGATTTGCTTTGGCACCATCGGACACATTTGAATTGACGCGAGGCGGGTAATGTTCAGGCTTTTGGTCAGTAAGATATTGGGGGCAGCACTGAAACTGGGGCCCTCCGCAGGAGCGTCGTCAAATCACATGGCGTTAAACCAAGACATCATCACTGATTAGGTCTAGCTTTTCATTAGCCACGATGATTCATTCTGAGGCAGTACATATGTGCCAATGAAAGTACTTGCTTCACGACGCCACGTCTTGGCATCTGCGAGTCTCGTGTTTTCATGGTCCCGAATGCAATGATTTGGGATTTCACGGCGCTCTGTGCCTCAAAGGTGTTCGATTCGAGATGAAGTCAAAACATATATATCCATGATCAGTCACAGCATACTTTGTGTCGGGCTTCTTCTACGACACCAGATCATACGAACATCATCGCCATCACCTGATTTACCAACCCCAAACCAGCCCTTTGCTTCACAACACCACAGTAAATCTCGCCAGCCTAGATTGCCATTGATATGATAGGCGGAACAACCACTGGAAGCGGGTCCAGCAGCCCAGACAAGCTTTCAGAACTCATCGGAACACCAAGGGCTAACCCCGTTTTCGATCACGACCAATGCTTGTTCTGCAACAAGCTCTCCGAATCATTTGATGACAACGTTGGGCACATGCAAACGGCACACGGGCTTTTCATCCCAGATAAGAAGCGCCTCATCGTGGATCTTGAAACTCTCTTCTCCTATCTTCACCTCATCATCGTCGGACACAACGAATGCATCTGCTGTGGAACGCAGCGGGCTAGCACACTCGCAGTACAGCAACGTCAGTCAACCTCGAGCACCAGGCGTCGTGAGAGTGATACTGACAGATCTGCAGACATGCTTGGAAAAGGCCACTGCAAGTTCGATATTGCGAGCGACGACTCGGAATTTGCGGACTTCTACGACTTCTCCGGCTCAGAGGCGGGGAGTGAAGTAGACGAAGACGCAGACGATAGTGCACTCCCGAGGAAAGATAGGGTCGAGAATCGCACAGTGCAGCCTGACGAAAATTCGCTCCGCTTGCCCTCTGGTAGAGTCATTTCTCACCGATCCCAAATACCAGTAAATCCCCGACGACAACCCCTGAAGCCACGATCGCCTGGCAGGTCAGATCTCATAGAAGATGGACCAGCAAGCGATCTCGACAACTCGGCACCTTCAACTTCAGCATCAACGTCGCTAGTCAGTCGTTCCGGCAAGGATGCCCTCACGCAGACGCGAGCAAATAAGAAGGAGTACAAGTTTGCGAAACAACTGGCTTCACTCAATAAGAACGACGAGAGGAGTCTTGCTCACCTGCCATTGCCACAACAGCGAGCAATTCTGGCTACGCACCAGAAGCAGATTGAGAAGGCGCATCGAGCAGAGGAAAGATATCGGGGGCGACTGGAAAGTCTTGGGAACCAATTTCTGATGACGCATTTCGTCAAAGATGCCGCTGATAAGAGGACTTTGTGGAAGTGAGCATGTCAGCATATCAGGAGTGGCGGTGGAGATATGATTTGTATCATCTCGAACCCTTAGCAAGCATTGACTGATAACCCAAATGGTCTGTTCTGGATTGCATGCTTAGATTGAATGGATGCGTCCATTTGTGTACAGCGAGCTCAAACACGACTCTGAACATCCTCGACTTCCAAGTCAGCTGCACCACCTTGCTTCCTCTCAGCCTGTTCCAGTCGCAGCTCCATGTCGTTGGAATAAGCTTGTGAAGGGTCCATGGTTGGAACGAAGTACGGCGCTTCGGTGAACAGATAGCGCATCTCTTCAAGAGGACGGCGAGCAGTTTCGGGTAGAACACACCAGAAGTATATGGCGTTGGTAGCGTTGCACACCTTGAAACGTTAGCCGTTGGCTCAGCGTAGGTTGATGACCATTCATGACTCACGATGAATAGAATATACCATCTCCATCCGATGCCGGTATTATCGTCCAGGGCCACTGAAGTCGTCTGTGCAATCATTGCATTGAATGCAAGATTGACGGCCGTCGCGATACTGACGCCTTTGGCCCTCGTCTTCATGTCAAAAATCTCTGCAGGAATGATCCAGGACAAGGGACCACACGTGGCGCTGAAGGAGAAATTATAAATCCAAGTCATGACGATGAAAGCCCAGCTCGCGGCCTTATTTCCGCCGCTCTCGTCAGGTGGGAAAGACGCCAGAAGGGCAGTGGAAATGATAAAAGTAATGCAATTGCCGACATTGCCCAAGATAAGGGGCCAGCGACGGCCAAGCCGATCTACCAAGGCCATGCAGAGGCCCTGTGCGCATAGAGCCAGTATGTTGGAGATGGCTTGATACATGAGGGTGTTGTTCGTCGAGATGCCCATCTTGCTGTAGATAGCCACGCTGTAATATTGAATAGCTGCCACGCCAGTCATCTGAATAGAGGCCTGGACAGAACAGGCAATCCAGAGACGTCGCAGGCAGGACTTGTCGCGGAAAAGTTCCAGGTAGGACTTTGCCTGAACCTCTTGTTCGACGCTAATGGATTCCTGAATCTGGGCAAACTCAGCTTGGACCCAGGCATCGTTGACGTTTCCATTGGAGTGGAGCTTGGCGAGAGTCTTGAGGCCATCCTCAGCCTTTCCGTGATTGATAAGCCATCGAGGTGACTCTGGGAAAAGCATGATCAAGAGGGCTAGGACGCCAGCTGGGATGTTTTGCAATCCAAGGGATATCCTCCACTGGTTCTCGTTATCATCAGAGACGCCGACAGTCATGGCATAGGAGAACCAGGCGGCGAAGAGCGCACCGACGCCCAACATGAATTGTTGAAGCGCTGTGACAGTGCCTCGAATACTTGGATGTGCAAGTTCGGCCTGATAAACGGGAATGACTGAGAACAAGTCAGCAAGAGCTGGACGAGAGCAAAGAAATACTCAACATACTCATAACCATGGCTCCGATTCCAAGGCCGCCGATCCCACGGCCAGCCATCATATAGGCAGTGTTTTTCGCCAACGTCTGCAACAGACCTCCTATTATAAAGACGACGGCGCCAATGAGGATGCAAAGCTTACGACCAAGTCTGTCGGCCGTCGGGGCGGCAGCCAGAGCACCAAAGAAGGCGCCACCCGTGAAAATAGACACGATGCCTCCGATTTCGGCAGGGTTGTCGCCGACGCGGTCCAGGAAGGACGGAGCGGCGATGACTTGGGCGATGACCCCGAGATCGTAGCCATATGTCAGCGAGCCAAGCGAGGCGAACACGCCAACGAGCCACTGATATACTTTCGGAGGGAGGGCCATGGCGATTTCTTGAAGTGCTATGTATCTGTTGGACAGCAACAACTGCAGAATTTCGGATCGAACAGCGCGGCCGTGTGGTTTTATCTATGATCGGTCCACACAGAAACCATACGAACGCTACCAGCACCGCATGCCAAGTTTCTAGTGTCGCTGGAAATCCCACCTGCATCTCGGGAGAGTGGAGTGGGATCTGCGGCCTGGGAGTCACTAGCCGGCGGGGCAATCCTTCGGGGGCTGCGTGGCCCACTGCGACGACAGTCGTGCTGGCTCCGGTCATGAACTCCGATCATAAGAGATGGCCCCAGGAGGCAGCGCGTTCAGTTTAGGTCAACGAGGATGGTGACAGGTTGCGAATAGAAATCCCTACATGTGAACATTATCGGCTGCCGCAGGTACCTAGGTACGTAAGCAGGTCCATGGGCTCGTATGAGTTCCGTCTTGTCTTCGCCGATGCCGTGCTTCATTCGAGCGCATCGGTAAGACCACAAAATAGCAGCAAAGCAGCAAGTCCCAAAGCAAGGCA